GTTTCACTATTATATTCTAATTATGTAAACTCAGTGATTGATTATACATTGAAACAAGAATCTCAATCAGTAGTTCCAAGTTTACAAACGGGAACAGTTAGTCAAGGGGTAATGGTGTATGAAGTGGAAGAATCCAGCACAGCGGCAGAACGAGAAGTAAGACCAATATCTACACGAGAGCGAGTTCTAATTCGACTGACAATAGAGATGACAACACCAATATCAGTTCCAAGAGAAAGCAATCAATTAGGTTTCAACGGGGTATAATAGAAGGGTGGAATCTTAAAGAAGTTATATTGGATCAAATTTCCTAACTGCAACTTACGGTGAGTAAGTTCGAAGATGAGGATAGCTTAAAAAGGCAAGTAAAAGTGAGCAAGAAAATAATATTGGCACAAAATTATAAAATTAGGGAATAGGAACAAGTCATCAAGGTAGAATCGAATTCGAAGATGCGAGTGAAGCGTGAATTGGATGAAAGAGTGGAAAACTGATCAAAGGAGAAATAGAGGATTCAGCATATCTTGGAAAATCAAAGGCAAGAATTACTATAAACTCACAAATCATATAGATTGGAACAGGAGAAGATGAACACTCAATTGAAGATAGAACGAGAGAAGAACGAGGCATTGGAGCTTGAAAAGAAACAATTGGGTGACCAATATCGAAACAAAACAGATGAGCTACAGGCAGAAATTATTGTTTTGAATGAAACAGTAACAAAATTGGAGACTAATTTGGTCAAAATTGGTCAATCATAGACATCTGCTTCAACAGGAGTAAGAATTGGAAAATTGAAGGAGAAATTGCAATAGCAGTAGCAACAACTAGAAGCTAAAGATGCCAAAATATTCCAATTGGAAGCTCAGGTTCGAGAATTGGGAGCATATAATGAAGATTTAACAGCTCAATTAAGGGCAGAGATTCAAGATGAGTCGAAGGAAGAAGATATAGTGTTGGAACAAGACCAAATGGAGCCAACATTAGAAATTGAAGAGATTAAACAATCTAGTTAAAAAAAAAAAAAAAAAAAAAAAAAAAAAAATAGTTTTTGTTTATCAATACTATGTTTGCGGGGACGCTGCACAGTTTGGAGTGGGGCTATGTAGAATAAGTAGTTATTTTCAGAATGTAGATATCTAGTATATAGTGTAAACAGGGATAGATAACTATTGAAAAGGTAGTTCAGTAGGTAAAATAGATGAATAGTTAGGAAAAATAGTTATCATCTATAGTATAAGAATTGGTATCTTGGGGTAATATAACGAGGATAGGAGAGAGGAAGAAAATGCTAGACTGTGATAGTCATGAGTGAGGGGCTAGACTGCAATAGTATTGAGCCGAAATAAGCTTGGTATTATCTCTTCTTCTTAGTTTTCTTGTTTCTTTTGTGTTAGTGTTGATTCTAGTGAAGAGAATCGATTTAATGAATCAATGTTTGATTTATGAAGTTATTTATGGATCACTGTTTATCAATTGTTGTAAAAGATTGATGATGTATGGAAGTTTTTAGTCACTGTTTATTGTAAGGTTGTGAGTTTAATGGAGAGGAATTGTAATCGAAGGAATTGTCTCGATCAGATTCTGTGGATTCGAAGTTATTCGTTCCAGGGTTTGGGTTATGCTTGTGTGTTCATGAATTACACAGGGTACTAAAATTGATGTCGTGGTTGTTATTGTATTGATATGAGAGAGTCGACAGTAGGAGGAAAAGTTAAGTGTTCTTTGGTATTGTAAACATTCAGCAGTAGCAATTAATTGTGTGATCCTAACAATTGGAGCTCATATACATGGTCTTTCCCTGTGTTCGAATTCTCCTATATGGATTTATTCTGGGAGGTTTCTTCCGGAATAAGTAAAACGGAAATCACAAAGCTCAATGAATTTTCATTATTGTAGTCCATTACACTGAAGAATTAATTCAAATCAATTCATAGCATAATCACCTTTATTTGGTAACAAAAGCTCTATCTTTCTAATCTAAGCTAAAAAGCCTTCTAGTCCATTCATCTCTACATCTTCATAATCTTAGCCTTCTTCTTCCTAAAAAGGTAACCAAAATGAGTATTCACCTTCTCAAAAGTAAATAATGTATTCCTTTAGAATGGTGCATTGGCTTTGTGTTCTTTCATGGAAGTGCCTTAATTAGCTTCAATGCCTCATCTTACACAAAAAAAGCTTGAGGAAGTTTTAATCAACACTTATCTTGCATATTAAAAATCTTGTACATGCTTCAAGTTGTGAGTCAAGTATGCCCCACATTTTAGCCAAATTTCATGGCAACCAAAGTGAAAGTAAGGCATTGGTCTTAATCAATGACCAAGGCAAGATCCTTTTGTAATTCAATATTTTGCCAAAATATAAGCAATTATGCTCCTTACAAGGTCATGGTAGGCTCATCATTACTATCTCAACCACCCAAGCTACATGCTATATTTTTGGAGTCAAGCTTTAAATATAATTTTTATTCAGAGAATAATTGAATCCATCAAGAAAGAAAGCCGTTGGTAGTACAAATTATACCATAATATAGACAAAATAAGCTCTATATTATGATAAATATTACACCTGTGAAGTTGCTTAAAGACGCTCTTAAAAAACTATCTCCAATTTGGATCAAATTACAATTGAGCATTGACAAAACTCTCAAAATTCTCATTCTTGTTTTACCATATGCGTTTCTAAAGATTCTTTAGAAAAGAAGTATCTTCCTCAATACTCAAAATAACCTCAGAAGCTACAATCTACAAAGCTTCAACCTCCATGATATCTACAAAACATCTCCACCTAATGCACTCAAATCTATAATAGGTGCATACTACTATCTCCACCATCACGAAATCTTAGGCCTTAAAAAGCCTACTTTGTAGCAATAGACATTGAAAAATTTCTAGCTTCACATAATCTCGATTTCAATATGCTATGTTGATTTGTACCTTTCATTTCTAATATTTAATTATAACTTCAACTTTGATAAATTCTCCACTATCTTTGGTGCACCAAAATACCTACAAATGTGCATGGAGAAGTTTGAAGACAACTTGGACTCTATTAAGCTCGGCTTGAGCAAGTAGAAATACTGCATTGACAATATGGAATTCCTCATAGAGTAGTTGTAGAAGAAGTTGGACCATAGGAAAGGTAAGATTGATCTTCCAAATTCATGCTCCTCCATGCACAAAATGCAATAATAATACCAATTATATCACCTGTTGCAAGGAAAAGGCTAGTAATGTATAGTGCATAATTTATAATGTATATAATGCACAATTTGAAATAGATAATTTTGTATGAAGACTACTATGAGTTATTTTATTATGAGTGAAGACTACTTATAGCTAAAAAACAAAGAACTAGAGACTCAAAATATATTAAAACAGTTATTGAAGGTATTTCTTAGTAAGAGTATTTAGCACAAATATCAAAAATACCTAGTTAATATACTTTGCTTGATTTTTGATAAAAAAAAGTTTGAATTAACTTTATTTTTTTGCTTCACTTTTGACAAAAACAATGAGGCATGTAGCCACATGTAAAACAGGTTGTAAACTCTACAAAATATGAACTTTTTTGATGAAAATTAAGAAAGATGCATGTGGTCAAGGATAGCCACCACTTATTTCCTTGAGTGATCTTTATATATATATATATATATATATATATATATAATGATAATTTTTGAATATTTATATTTTATTTATTATTTTATAATTATTATAATAATTAAAATCTACTTTATATAAAAACCTATTTGGTTGGAAATCTCTTCTTTTATCTTTTTTTTTTATATTTATCTTTTATCTTTATCTTTATCATTTTTTAACATTATCTACTTAAAATTTTATTGTATTTTTTTTTTTAATGTTTATCTAATGATTTAAATATATTTTAACTTTTATTTTTTAGAAATATATTAAACTTAAAACAGCTTACATATACACAAGATTCTCATTTTTGAGATATTTTAATTACAAAAAGTTATTGATGGAAAATTAAAGTACAGTCAATCAAACAAGAAGTGATCAATTAATACCTGATTCGGCACCTTTCTTGCTAAGAGTTTGGATAGAGATCCTACAAAACAAGTTTGATGGGTGACTAATAAATTGTACTTATTCAATTTTGTTTTAGAATTTCTTATTGTTAAAGTTTGGACTTTTTCTTCTCATAACCATTCAAAATATCAAATTTACACACACATCTTAGCTTTGAATGATTCTTTTCAAATCCATCAAAGGTTGTAGGGATTTATTTATAAAGGTATTGAAATTGAATGAATTAATTTGATTCAAAATAGTTGGTGTTGGAAGCAATGATTGAAGATGAGAACCCACCTTAATAATGTTGGCTAGTTGAAGCTTTCAAATTGCAACATTGTTGGTGTTGTCAAGGACTATTCTTGATGTTGTGAAGTACCACCACCCTTGGTGTTGTCTTCTGAACCCATTACTATTTTTGTATATACATACTATACATACTTTAAAAACATATGAGAAAGTATCTGCTAGTTCATTTTGAGCTGGAATTGAATTTCATTCAAATGTCCTCAAGGTAGATTAACATTACAAACCTTGGCACTCTCTTTGTTAATGCCAAAAGATAGTTATAAGAAATGAACGACTTTAGTGTAATGTAATCAAAGATATATACATTTATTTCTAACAAGCATATTACCTGTATAATAATAAAAATAATAATTACAAAGAAAAACCTTCTATTCTTCAAGATTTACGTATTGAATGAACAAGCTCCTACAAGCATTTTCAATACCATCCATTTTTTTCTTAATTTGTCTTTTATAATTCTTGAAGTCCTTCCATCATAACATACTACATCATATTCCACTGTTTCATTTCAATATAGTCAATCTTCTTCATGTCTCCACTCCCACTACATTAAATTAACCAATGTGTCAAAACATCAAATCATGCCCTTGATGCAACCCCTATGAACAATAAATCCAAAAAGTTCCAATTCACAAAACATCAAAACCAACAACAAAATCATTAAAAAGTGTATATTTGGATGCTTAGTGGAATGAGCAAAGGCAATCATCCAGACCCATACAAATGACTTGCCAAAAACAGGGTCCCCACCTCAATCAATCTCAACCCTAAACCTGCCGAAACCCTAAAAAAACTGAGACCGCAGACCTAGTCATAACACTGGGTGGGCAGCCCGCCAGGGGACCTTTCGCCGACAGGGCTCTTTTTATGATACAAGCTTGCAGAAACCGAATCATGGACCAGAGAGAAAGATCGACATAAATTGGGTGCCTGCAACTCCAAATGAAACAACAGCACTCCATGATTCTCAACGTTGGAGGGCCAGTCATTAACTTGGAGAATCGTCTAGTTCACGGTTTTCTACACGGATCTGGCACTTGCGGTATAGACTGGAACCAGCTAAGGTTTTGAGGTTCAGTGGACAGTGCCGTTGCGTGGGTTAGATTGGTCACGGTACTGAGCAAGATCCTGCAGTAGATCACATCGACATGGTGTGAGGGTGGTGGAATAATCTAGATGATGAAACGGAGAAGATGAGTTCTTAGCATCGAAGGGTTAGCTGACCTGTGTCAACGCGTAGACACCCTGAACTGTTGGTCCCACTGGACTTCCTCGCCGGAGGAATTTTGAGTCTTGCAAAGTGTAGAGCATGGGAATGCCGGTTGAGAGCTCGAGCTCGATCACTTCCTTGGATGTGAGCTTGTCTAAGTACATGATGATGGCGCGCAAGGAATTGCCGTGCGCTGCGATCATTATGTTCTTCCCAGATTCCAGCTCTGGGACCACCTGCTCACACAGCATCACCCATCGGTGGGGTTTAGGAAACCGTGCTATAAGTCTAACAAAGGTAACGTCAGGGGAATGTTTAGAGGTGAAGGGTAGTTGCTAAAAACTGCAGTGGAGAGTGAGAGATCAGCTCTAGAGTTTTTGAAGAGATGGAGAATGTTTTGGATTTATCTTACGTTGTCCACGAAGTACTTGACGGCGCGCTCTGCACACATCTCGAGGCTCTCCCCATTGGGTGGAGGGATATCATAGCTTCGGCGCCACTCTTTGACTTTCTCAGTGCCGAATTTCTCAGCTGTTTCTGCCTTGTTCAATCCTTGTAATTCACCGTACCTGCATGCGAGGAAAGAGCGTGTATGGCTTACTTTATATGTTCAAGGCAAGGCTTTGAAAAAAATTGCAATTCGTTTTGTTGGGTTGGCAGTGGCAGAAGGAATGCCAGCAGATTGGGCTTACCACGCCTACATTGAATCGTGATCAGAAGAATATCAACAGGATGTATTCGTAAGAATCATACAACTAGTTTGAGAAGGATACCAGTACAATCAACAGGGTCTCTACGAAAACTGTGAATACTCCCAAATCGCATTACGGTGTTTGCTCAAGGTTTGTGGAGGTTTTTGCATAACTTCACATAATGGCGATGGAAGTGGGTGGAGAAGTAAAGGTGAATGAATCGAAGAGGTGGACTTACATGCGCTCATTAAGCTGCCATGCGGTGACCACGGGGATGACATCGTCTGTATCGCTGTATATTCTACTCCACGCTTCTGCCCTCTCACTTTCGTTGTGAAGAATCACTGGCACCTGAAAGATATGAACTCCGAATTAATTCACAGGCATGACACCAAACTGAACACATTCACTCCCACGGCGTTGTAATGCCAAGCATACACATGCGAATCATTGAAAGGGCCACAAAAGGCACGGACAACATTAAGATGTCTCACCTTCTGGCGATGGTGCTGCGTCATGGCGAGCATAGCAGTCATCTGAGCCCGAATCAGCGCAGAGGTGAAGATCATATCCACGGGGAGCTCGCTAATGCACTTGCCTGCTTCGATCGCTTCTTCCACGCCCTTCTGAGACAGAGGGACGTCCACACATCCCGTGAAGAGATTCTTCGAGTTCCATAGCGATTCTCCATGGCGAATGAGAATCAGTGCCGACTCCCCTGCAACCAACACAAACAGCCAAGTGCTCAAACACATTGTCTAGTAGCTAAGCTGCAGCTGCGTTTCCAACAAACCAATACCTACACTAAGGCGGAGATAACAAAGAGGGAATCGAAACCCACTATTGCCGCTTGGAGTCGCAATACCATCAGCAATGATAGTTTCGGCAGATTGTTGCACAGCAGAAGAGGTGATTCTTCGCCGCTCACGCACAACTCGCATCGACGACGACGACAACAGCCGCTTATGAATCGAACACAAGGCTCCCGACGACTTGAGACTAACCCCGGCATTGCGGCAGCTACGCCACTGAACAGGGTGAAGTGAACACACACCCTCCGCACGCAACACGGAAGCCGCAGAGGAGGCAGGGCACACAGACGAAGCAACCGCCATGGTTCAACGTCCCCGAACACTTCGAGGAGTCCGCCAAGCACGAAACGGAAACAGAGATGAACAATGTCAATGGATTCGCAGGAACCGGCAATGGACTCAGGCACGCAACTGAAAGGATTCTCTTTCGGTATGGGGAGCATGTGAGGATCTCGTTGGCCTTTAGCTTGAAGTTGCATCTGTTTTTCCAGGCACGAGTTGCCCTGCAGGAATACCGGCTGCCGCGACCTTTTGGTGAGACTCCATGGGTCCATCCTATTCCATTCCTTTTACGCCATTTCTTTCTAATTTCCTGCTTATTTATTCAAGTTTCCTGTTTTTCCCTTCCATCACTGAAATGCCTGGAATTTGGAAAAGCAGAGCGGATTGGGGCCAGAATAGAAAAGAGCTCTGGTATCTTTATCTTTGTCTCCCTCAAGTCTTGAATGATGGCTGGGTTGGGGTCATCCTCTGTGAGCTGCAACGAGTGGTCGAGGTCGTGCTTTCCCACTGCTTCGAATTTTGTTGGGGAGATCGTCACTAATTGGGCGACAAAGGAATGGGAATTGTTCAGCTTGAACCACCTTTTCCCTTAAAAGAATCAGTCGGATGAACTGTTGTCCCGTTATTTCTTAATCGCTAGTACTTTATCGATGATTACTGGTGTTTCGAGAACCGGGGGTGTCTTGAGTGAAGCTCTGGAGGTTGGCAGCGCTAGATCTGGTGGCCCACAATCGCCACCTGGGACCCACCATCTTTCCATCCTCTGATGGGTATGAAGCGTCGGCGTTTGAAATTGGATCCCAAGTTGCGACCTCGGTTGTGTGGAGCCGGATAACGTCCCAGCGATTAGGGTTCACGCGCGTCGGGACAGATCCTTACAGAATTCCCTGATTTGGAATTGGGTTCCTCAGCGTCGGTACGAATCAAAGCATGCAAATTGGCCTCTAGTTACTTAACAGGGTTTCTTCGTCTTCTTCTTCTTCTTCTTCTTCTTCTGTTTTGTTTTGTTAGCGAGAGTTGAACATCACAGTATGCTGGACATCTTAGCTATGGCTGGAAAGGTCACCACAATTTTTTTTCCATAAACGTAGCTACCTCATCGGGCAGATCGCTTGTTGAGCCGAATTGTTTCAGAAGAGAATCGATCTTTAGTATCAAAAGCAATGTCTCTCGAGCATGAAACTGTTGGCTTCCTTTCTGAGCGGCTTTTTGGGTTGTTAACAAGAGCTCCAGACTATGGCCCTCTGTTCTTTGAATATCAAATGTACATGGATTGAAACGAATTTCCTACGACTTTCTTGAGGGCAGATCAAAGACTTGTACTCATCTCGTGGAGAAGTAGGGTTTCGACCGGCTTTCGATTCGTGGACTTCATATTTGTTGCACGAATTGTGATCTACCACCACAGTTACAGAGCGGGTTATGCGATGTCGACAGCCCATTAGGCATTGTCCTTTGAACTCAAACAGTCTTGCGTTAGAAACCTGCTCATGAAGTGATATTCAACCAGCCCAGGCGGTTAACGAACGCAAAACCGACCAAGATATGAAGACACAAATCCTTCACTGATTTCTCTTATTTCGAATCATCTTGCCCATCCCCAAATGGATCATTGTTGTAAGCCAAGACTTCAAGCCTGGCAAGAGATAATTCTATGCAGAGGCATTGCACCGCATTACATTGTCATCGATTTCGGAGCCTTTGTCAAAAACCTCTTGCAGCTCTTTGAACACTCCAAGTAAAGTAACCTTGGAAGATGTAATTGAACAATTGAGATCAACACAAACTACAGCAGATTGGACATGACCTTCAAGTCTAATTCGAGCTTTTTTGCGCGACTATCGTTCGCATCAATCTTCTGCTCTACATTCTGCAACTGTTGCTGAGTGTCTTGAACCTGAACGAAAGGATCTCAACGATTAGTTATGAATCCAGAGGCGAAATGGTACTGTGTAATACTTATCGGAGAGATGCGATGCAGGAGAGAATAACCTCTCTTTCCATAGCTCGGAGCGTGTTCTCCAGCTCCCGGATGCGTGCATCGCGCGACCCAACAGTTACACTAAGGGTAGAATCGGTTAATTCTAGCTTTCGTTGCACTTCCAATATCTCCATTTCTCGACTCTGGTTATCATCACATGTTGATATCTTAACCACACACGCACAGGAATGCTAATATAGTTGAGAATGCGATATTGGCTCTCTGGAGGACCTGCAGCTTGTGCCATTTCATGCAGGCAAAATATGATTATGATGGTTTTCGTTGTGTGCTTAGAAACACGGTAACACAGTTGTGAAAATCTCTTGGTCCTGCCTTTCTTACCAGGCAAGTGCTCTCAAGATTTGCAAACTGCTTGTCACGATCTTGCAGCAGCTTGCGCAATGATCCCGCAATTTCGAAAGCGCTTTCGAGCATCTCCTGAGATTCACCAGGCATTCCCTCCAGCCTCTCTGCTGTATTTATCAGTGCCTGCATGCATTTCTCAAGCTTCAGCTGCACGTAGGATTGGATTATTTGCTGCAATCTGAAAGTATGAGCTCATGCTGTCGCAGAACCTAATCCGGTAGCCTCATGCTCAATGCAATCGACAGCGCGAGTTATGGTTGGGTACACTATTTCCTGATAGCTTATGGATCAGCCCTAAGAGTACAGGTGACGAAAGCCATCCACCTGCTTGTAGGAGTCAATCTGTTTCGTTTTCTCAGCGAGTTGAGCGCGATGTTCGTGCAGAACTCGCATCAAATTTTGCATCTCCAGAGTGCTGTTGACATCTCCTTCGGTGGCTTCAGTATTCTCTCTCTGAAGGTTTTCCTGCAGAGGGGTTATTTTTCCGTTTGATTTTGAGCATACATCGTAGGGACTGGTAAGGTTTCTTAGCTTACTGATGCTCGCATGACACTTCTCGGCAAATTCTCGAGGAGGGGACACACAGGTCACGCGCATACGCTACCTCTCAACAACGCACCCCATTACCTGCAGTCTTTCGATTTCTAATTCAAGCTCCTGCGCGCGACGATGCTGGAGTTGAATCTCATCAACCATCGACTTCTCGAGAGTGGCACCATCTTCGAGAGCACGCTGAAGATGCTCCTTCTGTTTGTCCTTGCTCACTATGGTATTCTTCAGGTCCGCAATCTCCGACGACATTTTGTCTACGCACTCACCGAGCTGAAGCTTCTCCACGTCCAAACTCACCATCCCAACCCCTCCACTGTGAACCACCTATACAACGAAGCGCAGTTCCACAACATCAGAAACATGAGCTGGGCCGCACCACCATCCAACCCTCTGCGCAGTGCACCCGAATGTCCACATTCTTCACCCCAATCTGTCCCATGTGCTGGATTGGAATCAGCTCGCAAGCCTGCCTTGGCATCTGCCGTGTTAGTCACACAGCGATACGACTACACCCAAATCCACCCTCTGCCACGGCGCGTAGAAGCTTCGAGGTCCACCACCTCCGCATGCACACATCATTGGCAGCATTGCGTGCGACGAATTACGGGCACCCTGCAGAGTAGCTTTTGGTGGATCCAAGGCAACAAGATTTCCAGCTGCCAAACGTCCGAAACGAAAGCTTGAGGATGGGCGAGGCGTCGGCAAGCGCTGATCCGTCGCGCTGCCATGGCTCGGATTCAACCTGGGCACCTGCTTCGCAAGACAAAGGCAGTTATAACTGACTCAGATTGCGTGTCGTCACTCTCGCGGCTCGATTGATCATCGAGACACGACGAAAGCCGTCGTCCACGATCACGCGCAAGCGACGTGAAGGCTCTCGCGGGGCGTCGCGGCGGTGACGCCCCGTCAAGTCCGAGTGGTTATATCGTCTACTATGAATCTTAGGTTTACTGTATTCTAATAATAATAACAATAATAATAATCATAATAATAATAAATGACGGATTGAGGATGTTTAAGGTTTAGGGTTTTCAGTTTTCCACAAAAATTAAATAATTATTAATCAATCAATAGAGCCCTTGGATGTGAAGTTTGAGCTTTGGTTTAAGTTTATTTATTTAATTATTTATGTTTCTCTTTTTCTTTTATTTTTTCTTTTTGAAAAGATACTCTAGATCTTTGGAGAATAAATTTTGGTGTTAAAAAAAAAAATACAGCACCAACTGTTTTTGAGAATATAATTGTTCTTTTTAACAAGCTGAGTGATTGAAATTATGTTAAAGATAAAAAAAAAAAAAAATTAGTATACACAAAATTGCATTTAACTGAGGCTGGTATTTACTAAAAAAATGTATTGTTTTTAGTGCAAGTGGATTGATCATAGAATTTGGAATTTTCAAATGTTAGTATGGATTGATTGTAAATATGATGATTGTGCCGAGACATAAATAGGCTGGAAAACAATATGAAAAAAAAGAAAAAGAAAAAGAAAAAAGAATCTAAACTAAGTCTATGTTTCATTTTTCTTTAATTTGGATTAGACATTAATGTTGATATATATGTATATATAACTATAAAACATCAACTATGTCTGTAAAACTATGTCTATAAAACATCAACTTAAATTATTATTATACTTAGATAAATTAATCAATTAGTTCTCTAACAATTGATAGTAATAAAATTTAATATCTGCCAATAATTTTATTGTTTTTAATGCAACTTGAATTTTGATGCAGCAGCTAGCATATGCAATAATAAAATCAAGACTTTATATTCACTAAAAATAAAATTTCTGTGATACCTTATTCATTCTACACTCATCACACATGTAAAAATAAAAAATAAGGAAGTATTTAAAATTGGAATCAAAGTTGATTTTGAAGTTATATTTACAATTACACTGCAAGCCATAGCTTCTAACTTTCAAAGCCTACAAGTTAGTTCCTGTGATATCAAGTATAGACACATTGCTTCTATTTAAGGTTTCAACACAGTACCATCACATTTTGAAACCCAATCACATCTAAAAGTGCCACAACACTACTATTCACCATCTCGAATGGGTCCATATGCTCTTACAAATAAACTAAAATGCTATTCTAAATATACGAGAAATAACACAAGAACCCATAAATTTGTCATATCATCAACAATTCAAAGAAAGTACTCATTTTGAAGCTCATGTAACAAGAAAAAAAAATATATGATGCAATGTTCACCCAAAAGGGATGGAAATCGTCCATAAATAGGATGAAAAATAGTTTCATCCAAATGATGGGGGGGGGTAAAGGGTGCATGGGTGAGGGACACATGACAAAGGAGGGGATATGATGAAACATGCCAATGGTGGAGCTTGTGAGGGAAGAGTGATCTACTCCCCCTTCCCCCCAAGTACCATGCTCCCCATATTCAGTTGCTTATTCATCCATCCATCCATCCATCCTCAATATCGCATGTCGATCTTTCATCCACCCATTGATGGATGAACAATATGCATTCATCCACATGTGCTTGTCCCCACCCTGTCTTCTATTTAATCCCCTTCCTTGCCTCGTCGCTGCGGTGCGCGCTGCTGCGGGGGTTCATGGTTTTGTGTCCCAGCTGAATCGACCGACGTCTTCCGGCTTTGATTTGCTTGGTTCGCAAGTATGAGTTTATTGGAATTCTCTTCGGACCTTCAGAATTGTGGAACTCAATTGTGGGTTACGGGAGAATGTCCTGCACCGTGATCTGTGTCGATTCAATGCAGCATTGTCTGAATTTTTCTAGAGTTGCGTCGGTATTGTGTTTGTGCACACAAAGATAATGTGAGAGGGATGTGGGGGATTTTTTTTTTTCTGATGCAGATTCCAGTTTCCCCTTCGGACATTGCGATGGCTTGCAGCTTCGACTTCGTTGTACTTCTCGTCCTCGTGGTACTGACTTCCTCCAAAATGATCAGCGGGAATTATCTGTTTTATTATTATGTTTGTTTATTTATTTTTCGATCGCTTGATTGTTTTAAGTGGATGTACGTGGGACTGGGTTTCTGAGTTGAATGTTGTTGCACTGAATTTGCAGGTGTTGGGAAGAGTGCTGGAGGTCGAGGGCCGCCCAAGTGGTACATGGGGCTGGATTGCTGACAGCAATGAGGACAGTGGCCTCCAGCGCCTGACTGTTCCACAGTCGTTGCTTGGCAGTATCGCGTCTCCTTTGAACGCAGAGGAGACTAACAAGTACTTGAACCAGCTCAACGACCACACTCTGCGCCACCACGGCCAGGACGACGATTTCTGCAAGGTTGCGAGACTCGAATGCAATTCCGACGTAGAAATCGTGGGAATGTCCCGCATCAATCCCGTCGACCAGGAGTCTTTTGAGCATAACCGTGATTCAACGGACATCATGCTTGGAAACCAATTCAACCACAACGACATCAATAAGGGCAACGAAATCGTGTTGCCTGAGAATCTCCATGACTCACACCCTATTGTGCCGTTCCTGCCTCAGTCCCTTTCTGAGAAATTGCCCTTCTCCAGGTACTCCACCATTTTGTCGATGAATTCCAACAAGCTGAAACTCTTTCGGGTTTAGAATTTTCCAGTTTGAGGTGATCACTAGTCATGACAATTCAATGCTCCGTTTCCGACGCAGTGGCAAGATGCCGGAGCTTTTGGACACTCTCAACATCCACCGCGGCTCCAACATGGCGATGATGATGTACCGCACTGTGAGCCAGTGTGAAGCTCGGGATCAGAGCAAGGAAAGTCGAAAGTGCGTGACCTCGTTGGAGGACATGCAGAACTTCGTCAGTTCAAGACTGCCTCAAGACAAGCATATCACCGCTCTTGAGCGATCCAGCTCCATCTCAGGTGATTCCATTGCACCTCCTATATGATAACCTTCAACTTCGGACATGCAGCAAGGTGTTCATTGTAATGGCGTTATTTCATGTAGTTGAAAGAACGTGGGTATTCGAACTCAGTAGTCTGGAGGCATTTCAGGTGCCGTCAGGTCCCACTCAAAGGATAGCTGGAAGGTGCTCGATACCAAGCTTCACGAAACAGCCGTGATCTGCCGCAAGAGCGTGTTCGCCTACGCCGTCTTCGAGTGCCAAGACACCAGCACGAGCAACATGCACATCTATAGCGTCGAGATGCAAGGTCACGACGGATCCCGCAGAAGCGAAGTAGCCTCATGCTCAAAGAACTTCGCCACGACTAGCGTGGATGCCACGGCACACAAGAGGACCGAGGGACAATCCTGCCTCTGGGTCACCGATGCCTTGATCTGGGCACCGACGAACTAGACTGCTTGCTGGTTCGATTAACCTGGTCGAACACGACTGAACACAAACATTGTCCAAAAAATCATAAAATGTAATAAGAGGGGATTCTCAACACATCAAGAACTTCGCTACTCTAGAGCTGGCACCCGCAATATCGAGGTTGAGGACGATAAAAAAAACAAAGGAAGTGGGGATTTGATTGAGGATATTTCGGAGGCGTTCCGTAGTCGTCTCCGAGAGACGAAACGTGGCTCCCTGTGGTGTTGATAGCTGGTGTTGGATTGTATAGATGAGATGATTTGTCTGGGGGGCAGAAAGGATATGATGATCTCGTCCTCTTCTCTCCTCTCAAGTTGGATTTAATAAGACTGCTGCTGCGGTTGCAAGAGCAACTCCAGCTGCAAGTGCTACTCTTCATCATTTCCATGGTTTGGTTTACCTACGGTAACCGTTCCCTCTAAATCAATGCTGGTGGGGCAGATCGCAGGAGGCAAAATAATAAAAGAAAGGAATGTGTTTAACCGGAGACTATTTACACTATATGTTTTCCATTCTGAAATGCTCACCGAACTTGTCTAAAACCGGATTTGAGATCGTATCTGCTCATTTCGTTCAGAAAGTCTATGGCATGGTCATTTTACCATTAAATTCTCGCAAGATATGATCAACATAACTGTCGATGAGCACATGTCTGAATTCCAAATATTGCCTACCTTCATCACAGCTTCATCCCACAAATCGTAAGATCTCCGTTGCAAGAATGAAATTACGAACGCCTGCAGAATCCAGAGCGTGCATCCCATAATTCTGTTTGTGAACGCAGCCACCAACATGGATAGATCCTCTATCAACTGACAATTGCAACACCGTTGGAACGTCAGTTTCGTATAACAGATTTTAACAAGTGTTAGTCATTCTGAGGCATATTGAGAAGAAAGAAGAAAATGGGTTGTGCACATTCCCTCTGGCATTTGTTGGTGGGTCGATTAGTTGTTCCTTTCAGATATTGCGAAGCTTGGAAACTATTATTTTCTATATCTTTAATTACAAATTGGTTTCTAGCATATGTAATCTTCAATCTTCTATACTCAAGGTCATTTTTTTTAATGTTGGCTTTTAATATAGAGCATATTGTTTTGTGTAAATCAAAATGCTTAATTTCAAGCAATTTAGGCAACAATATTCAACCCATGCTTTCTTTATATAAAACCAATACAAAAGTATTTGGTACTTTACTTGTTTTCTACCAATTTTTTTATTTTTCCAATACAAATGGCTCTCATTAAAGCCTTATACTATGTATTACTTTTTTTTCCACTAGTATTGTATTTGATCAAATTGTATCCATGTTTTAAATGTAGTATACATTATGAGATATAATATTATTTTCTCTTGACCACTAAACTTGCTACTAGTACATAATATCAAAAAATTTAGCATCTCCAAGCTCACTACATTAGAGTATATATCAGCATACAAATAGCATATTTTATTGGTTGGTCTTAAATATCAAGTCTATGATTCATGCTGACTTTGGCATAATATCTTTTGCTATTTCAAGCATATCTTTTATTTATATTACTAATACAATTGGTTTTTTTCTTTGCTATTAGATTCTCTAAATCATAAGCATGGTATTATTAATTATTAATTATATTTATTTTTTTATTAATTTAGAGACCATTTTTCTTATAAATTTATAATTATCTTTATTTTATCATTTTTATTTGAAGATAATATGCTAAATTTGATGCTTTTTTTGGATTTAAAAGAAAACAAAATATTTGTTGCTCTTGTAATAGAGCTTTATGTTTAAAAACATACTAGCATATTTTAGAATTTGATATTATTAAAATTATCCAACATCTCAATAAAATTATCAATTTTACTGTGATAAACATGTAAAAAATAACAATCATTTCTTGATCTAAGGTCATGGCTATCAACGCTTGCTCTGATATGAATTTTGATATCTTATTGTCATGGACATACCTATTTATTCCAATAATTATCTACATTATTAGATAGAAGTAAGTAAAAGTAGATTAATTTTATGATATCTTTTAGAATAGCTTCCTAGAAGCTTTAAAGATGTTGCTTTGACTTTACACGAGTTTGTAGTTAATTGATAGGCTAAAAACTTTGTCAACAAGTTATCCATGTATTATATGTTATCATGTGGTTACATGACTTTACAATGAAAAATAAAAATATGGATGTTATTATAGAAAAGCATAGCAAAAAAATGTAGCAGAAAAATAAGGATAAATAATAAAAATGTAGTAAAAGATTTAGTCTTAATGCTGCCTTTTTATAGAAGGAACTTCTATTTACTTTGTAAAGGCATAAATGAGCTAAATCAAAGTAAATGAGATAAAAAATAATATAGGCATATGTAGGAGGGAGTTAAGAATAGATTTTAGCAAAATTTACATGAATAAGCCAAGAATTGATACACAAAGAGGACTAGTTGTCATCTTGGATCAAAATCAAATTCTTAGGCATAAAACCACACATTTACAGTGATTCCAAGGTTATTTGGAAGATGAGTGAATTGGATGTGAGAGAAAACTTGAGGAGATATTTTTAGACATTGGTTTTATATCAACCAACTCAATATTGAGTTTTTGAGGGATTTTCAAAATTAATAATATTCTCAATTGGTTTAGATTTTTGGAAAATAAAAATATGTTTACAAATTTGAAGGTTTCTTGAGTTTTGTGGTGTTTGTACAAATGAATTTTAAACAACGTGTTGGTATTCTAGTTGTAAATATATGTAAAATTTTTGAAAACAATCAAATGGTTAGATTGAAGTGTATAAAGGTTTTTGCAAGTTGAAGTCTCTGAAATTAGAGTTTGAGGGATTAGTGAGTATTTCTAAGATCTGCAGCAATTAATCAATTGGATTGAAGTGATTTTTTTTTTTTTTTTTTTTTTTTATTTTTGGTAGATACTAGACTTGATTTCCAACATTTTATGTGAAATTTGGGAGCAATTCAACTATTCAAGAAGGAACTATTGGTGCTAGAAGTTTAGAATTGAGATTTGAATAGGAGGCCACCTAACACTTAATTGGATTATCTTGCTTTTCTCTCAATTGGTAAGTGTGATTGATCTCACCTTTCTTGTGCTTATTTCTAACTAAGACATTAAAAAGTGTGCAAAATTTGAGTTGACATCAATGGTTTGATTATAGTTATTGAATAAAAATTAAAACAATATAAATTACATCAATGCTCTACAACAAATGTTTGCATTAAATATTGTAGAATGGAAAATATAGAAGATTTTACAATATAAATATAGGACTCTCTGAGCATGATAGTCATGGAGAGAAAGGAACCCATGATAGCATACTTATGTGCATAAATGCCAAGTTATATAAAGCTTTAGGTACTCACTTACAATCAATTTGCATTCTATGGTTTGCCAAATCTGGTTAAGCTTCTCCTCAATCTGCTTTTTGGTTGTTGATGATTCAACCTCACAATCAAAATATTGCAGAAACCTCCAATTACTTTGCCTACTTCAAGTTCACAAGGCAATTTTGCAAGGTAAATTTCTTTGAGTGTTATCAAAAAATTTCATCAATGCATTTTCTTCTGGCATCATGAAATTATTTACTGAGGCTGCTCCATCTATTGAAATAGTACTTGATAATTGATGGTGATGTATCTTAAACTATGTTTAGAAAACTTGGTAATATTGTTAAATCACCAGTAGCAATAAGCTACCAAAAAATAAGAACATATGTAATCTTTGATGTGTTCTAATTGTGTGAAATACACAATTCAAAACAGATTTTTATTTTTCTAGTAATTTTATAAGGGCTTTAAGCAACAATAAAATTTGAACGGAAAGAAGCTCAAATGCAATAACGGCTTCAGTTAATATAGGGTCAAAAACACATACCAAACATCTGCACCAAGTTTTTAAAACTTGAACATCAGAAAAAATCACTTACTTTAACAATTCAAGGACCACCACAGACACAATCAAAAGATGAACACAACCAACACATCAAAATGTGTACAAAACCCCCCTAATTTACAACACACCAGATGTGTCTTAAAAAAAACTGTTTCAAACTACGAAGCCTCTCACATGAATAATTCATCAGCGCTGGGCTAGAACAACAAGTGTAGGCAGAAGACCCAAATTTCATGTTAAAGGAAATGCCTTTTAAAAAATAAATAAAATTCATACACTGAGGACCAACAAGGCAGTCAGGAGGGGAGAATGAACGAAGGATGTAGGGAAACACCCAAATGGATGAAGAAGCAAATGAAAATGGATGAATGTCTGGATGTGTACGTGGATGAATAATGCCGACGTGGACCATGGTGATGTGGCAGAAGCAGCATCACAAAAGGCGGGGCGACCGCGGGGCCACTTTCTATCGCAGGTAAAGATCTGGCCCAGCGCTGGCGCTGCTGCTCCTGCGTCGTCTGCGTCGCCCCGATCGCGCATTCCATTCCATGGTGCCCACTCACTGCCTCTCCTTCGTAAAGCTCACACCACCATTGCTTACAACTCTACCATTGCTGGACAGACAATCCATCCCCTGTATCTGGTCCCAATTCCGCCAATTCTCCCCCTCTCGTGTGTCTGTATTCTCTTGTACCTTACTGCTGGAGCCTTATTTGCAGACTTCTTCATCAGCTCCTGAGGCTTGGACCTTGTTGCTGTGGGTGGAATTGGAGCGGTAGTTGTCGCACAGGGTAGGCAACGCGCGTGGGTTGCGGTTGGAATTTCGTGTTGGGTGGAATAGTGGTTCGTTTTGGACTTGGGGTGTGTCCCATGGAGTCACTTGGCGCAGAGTTTTTGTTTTGTCGATTGCTGTGGAGTATGTGGGCAGGTGGATATTGAGGATTTTAGAGTTGTTTGGAGCAGGGGCGCATGAGAATTTGGGTTTAAGATCCGCACCGCTGTATAGTGGGTGCGTGTGATTATGTGGAGGCACACTCCGAACTCTGATTTCAGCCTCTTGAATTTCCAAGTGGGACGGTTGCTGTTTCCAGTTTGAGGCGGCCTTCGTTACGTACTGAACACTACTTTTTAAGGCGTTCGCAGCTTAGCAGGGTTTGGGGGATTGGTGTTTCGAGAGAAAGGGAGAGAGAGAGAGAGAGAGAGAGAGTTTGGAAAACGGTATGTGACGTTGTTGGCGAATTTCGTAAGGAGAAGAAGCTATGGCAGCGTCAATCCGGGTTAGTGTCCCTTATACAGTGGGTTTTGTGAAGGAGGAGCCGCAAACCAGAGTTCGGCCCTCTCATGATCATGACTGTGAATCTGCCGATATTGCAAGGAGTGATGTGGACAAAGATTTTCTGTGTCCGATTTGTTTTCAGCCAATGGAAGACGCGTTTCTTACTAGCTGCGGGCACAGTTTTTGTTACTCGTGTATCACAACTCATTTGAACAACAGAAATAACTGCCCTAACTGCGCTCGATACCTCACAGCGGATCGGCTCATACCCAACTTCCTCGTAACGAAGGTGAGTGCCACATTTGAAGATCCATGTGAGGCGTTGCGATAATTCAAAGCAATGTAGATCTCCAAAACTGAGTGAGTCTCTCAATGAAATGCGCAGGAGTATAGCAGCCTTGGAAATGTTGCACCGCGTCGCAATCACATGTATATTCACCTGCTAATAGCATCCAACTAACATGTGTAATGGCAAGAGAAATCATCTTTCAATGTTTCTACGGACATCTAAACTCACAGATGTCTGCTCTTTCCGATTGATATAAGGTCGCTTGTAGCACCTTAGTAAAGCCTTTGGCAGACGAATGCTCTATACAATTATGTCCGTATTGATCAAATCAGACTGAATAGGTTACATTTCATCAACTTGTACATTAGCGACTTCTAATATAGTACATTGCACGTTGTTTACAGCTGATGAGGAAATTGACATCCTTCCATTGCTCCGGCAAAATTTCTCCTGCAGAACATTTGCGATTTGTACTCCAACAGGTGACTTGCTGGATTCAGACTGCTTATTATATCATTACCTGTTGTTGTTGTAATTGTTCCTTGATAATGCGTGCCAATGGTTTATTGTTACTTCTATTATTTTCCAACGCTTTAACCTCGATTGACCCACTTTGCAGGGGGCTGATTTACCTATGAAAGATATAGACTCACTGTTGCATTTGCTAAGTGAGCGAAAGCGCCGAGTTGAGCAAGATGAGGCCGAATCTAATATGGAGGTTCTACTCGATTTTCTTCACCTATCATGTCAACTAAAGCAGGAAGAGCTGGCGGAGGTTAGATTGCGATTCAATGTCCACATGCTGAGTCGATCATAGTTTGACGTTTAATGTGTTGTTGGGGGGCTGAAGGTATTAGTGGTATTTTTACTTTTAATCGGAAGGGGCAATTCTTCCTTCGTGTTACTTTAACATATTATTGAAATCATGCTATGCAGAGAGTATTTTTGCGAAGTTTTCACTTTGGCTTGCTGGAGGTTTGCCTCTGAATAATATTGCATGGCGATATTAAACTAACACCATGTGAACTTCCATCTTCAAACAGTTGCAGGGTGATCTTCAGTATCTCAAAGAAGACATAGCTACTGTCGAGAGTCGACGGCAGGAGTTGCTGAGAGCAAAAAAGAAGTTTGCTAAACGATCTCGCTTAACTGCGGATTTGTCATCCCCCACTTTAGATACTCACTCAGGATGTGACCAGGGAATCAATGAAGGTGCTATTTCTGTTTGGCGAGGTGGGCAGGGTGGTGCACTTGCCCCTCTACGTGAACATAAATTGAAGGGAGGGAATTCGATACGAACCTCGGCATTTGCTATGGCCATAAAGGATGATGGCAAGAATGGGAATTATTTTGCAAACTCTTTCTCAGATCCACATTCTGAGTCGGTAGGTGTTCCCAAAATAAACAAGAGACAACGAGTGCTGGCACAGGTACACATGTTCAGCCACAAGTGCACTCAATGAAACCTGTAGTTTGGTCTCGTCCTCAGTCTCCAGCATCTGGTCCCTTCAAGCTTGACGAATGCAGGATTGTTTCAGACACATGCGGTTTGGACTGTTTCCTAGGCGAGAAGTGGTTTTATAAATTTTTCATAAGGGTTGATCTGAATTTCGGGAAATGGGCTAATAATGTAGTTTGAGGATTTACAAGAAGCTTATCTGATGCGGAGGAGAAAAGTGGCACGGAATCAAAGACACAGACAGATGCAGAAGCAGGAATCTATGAAGGAAGCATCCAAGCTGTCAGAAAGCTATCAGGATGGGTTAGAAGATTTTGAATCTATACTTTTAGCATTTACACGATACAGGTACTAGTCGAAATTCTACAGTTTCCATTATCTATGTATGTTATTCCTATCTGATTACTCCTTTTATTCAGTTAAAGGTTTTGTTTGTTGTTTTCGGTTTTGTTTGGTTTGTTTTTGCTTTTGCTTTGCTACTTACGCGCATTAGTTCTTTTTTCTGTTCGTAAGGTTCTTGCTTGCTACAAAAAAAATCGATTTCAAAGATATCAATATTATCGCGTAATTCTTGCTCATACTTATTATTATGTTTTTCTAGTTGTTGATTTTACTCGCCATTCATCATCACCTACTCCTCACTTAATCTAATACCCTGTTGCTATGTGAATGGACAGCCGTCTCCGTGTTGTTACTGAGCTTCACCATGGAGATCTGTTCCACAGTTCTAATATTGTTTCAAGGTGCCATATCTTGAAGCCAAGCCTCTTGTTCTTTGGTGCTGTTTTTGAACTCCTTGTTTCGTAGTAGGTTAAGCTCATGACCTCGTAATATTTCCTACATTGGGGGTTTTTCGTTTTGTAACGGTCGAGTTTCTCGTGTTAATTGGTAATGTGTTACTCTCGTTACTGATATTGTAACATATCCCTTCACATTTTGAAGCATTGAATTTGATCGCGATGACGAGTTCTTTGCGACGGCGGGCGTATCACGGCGTATCAAAGTTTTTGATTTTTCAAGGGTATTGCTTATTTCTTTTTAGAAATATTAGCAGTACATGCTTTGATGCGTAGCATCTATCATCTTGCCGTGGATGTTGTATTTTCGTGGCATCGAACATTTTGCGATTCTTATGTACTGCCTGACACTCAATCTACGACTAATATAATTCTGGAATGAAACAGGTTGTAAATGATGTCGCAGACGTCCATTGTCCAGTAGTGGAGATTCCCACACGGTCCAAATTGAGCTGCTTGAGTTGGAACAAGTGTGAAAAATCTCTTATTGCCAGTAGCGATTACGAAGGAATCGTTACATTGTGGGATGTTAATACAAGACAGGTAAGACAAAGACTTGATCTGTCTGACAAGTATGATGATGTTCAACTAGAACAAGTTGCTCTGTTTTGTACGATTCTTCGTCTTTAATTTGGAGTTCTGACTTCTTACCCTGCATGATCAATGCATTAAACTTCTGCCGTAGAGTCCTATCCTAGTCGCTTTCATGTTCAGGTTATCTAATGTTCCATTTTCGCATACCGACCGATTTTTGTCTTGCAGAGTGTTATGGAATATGAGGAGCATGAGCGGCGTGCTTGGAGTGTCGACTTCTCCCGTACAGAACCATCCATGCTGGTTTCTGGAAGTGACGATGGAAAAGTTAAGGTGTGGTGCACAAGGCAAGAGACTAGCGCCCTTAGTCTGGATATGAGGGCCAACATCTGCTGTGTAAAGTACAACCCTGGTTCCAGTAACCACATTGCGGTAAGACCAGTTTCGTGTCTCTTCTTTCTTAAATTAATATTTCTACCCATGCTATGCCAACCAATCATCGTGTGCTTCTACATCAGAGATCATTGGCTTGAGAATTGCAACGAACTCAAGTGGAATTCACTGTTCTTTAAGATGTAAGAAATGTTCTCAAGATGATTCTAATTTTCTCGGTCGGAATCTCAACAGGTTGGTTCCGCTGACCATCATATACACTACTTTGATTTGCGTAATGCGAGAATTCCTCTTTACGTATTTAAGGGACACCGGAAGGCTGTATCTTATGTGAAGTTCATATCACCTACTGAGCTGGCTTCAGCATCCACAGATAGCACTCTTCGACTTTGGGATGTCCAGAAAGACTGTTTGGTATGTCGGGCTGCTCTGATATGTGCCTCAACCCCGTACTTTTGATTATTCTTGTTTGTTATCAAGCATGTATGAAAATTTCTGATGTGGAAGATGATTACTTTCTTCTGCTTTCGGTTCCACACCTGGTGACATGGTTTTTGTCCGATGCAGACCCGAACTCTGAGAGGACACACGAATGAGAAGAACTTTGTGGGACTGACTGTCAACAGTGAATATGTTGCTTGCGGTAGTGAATCGAACGAGGTCTTTGTGTATCATAAGGTATTGGCTGGCCCTCCGAACTTATCTCATGCATTTGTCTGCTTAACACTTCCAACATTATTCATCAATTCAGTCACCTGACTCTTTCAGGGCTTATGTGTCGTTCTCTCCCCACAATAATCCCTTGAATTCATATACTTGCGCAGAACATCTACGTGACGTTCTTGTCATATACTTCCGTGCCAGTCATTATACCCTGCTGTTCTGGTTACATGAGTTCTAAAACTTGTTGGTGCATCTTGGCAGGCAATGTCGAAACCAGCTGCTTGGCATAGATTTGGGTCGCAGAACCCAGACGATAGTGATGACGATAGCTCGCACTTCATAAGTGCAGTGTGTTGGAAGAGTGAGAGCCCGACCATGTTAGCGGCCAACTCACAAGGCACAATTAAAGTACTCGTATTGGCTGCTTGAAAATCGACTCTCCTTCGTCTCTGGTTGACTAACAATCCTTCTTCTTTTGAATTCGCAGTTCAAAAATTGAAGTGCCAAGTCCACTTGATGAATTCTGAAAGTGTTGTTAGTCAGTTGCTGCTAGCTTCACGCTTGAAGTGTCTGTTGGATACATGCAGGAGTGACTGTCTAGATAATGCTGTTGTTGTCAAGATCCTCTATGCAAGGTCGCATTTTTATTCTTTAAACTGTTACGTGATATGGTGATTGACTTGTGTCAGTGTGTTAAAGATGTCCAAGTCGCCCAGATGAACCCACTTAGATTAGATTTCGGTGAACAAATTTTGTACATTAAAGAGCCTCCAACAATATAGTGGGCATCAATAATTGGCCTATACTTTGAATGTATGTTTTGTGTTAACCAATAATCAACATCTTATATAGAGTCAATATTTGGTAGTTTCTGACACAGATCAGAGACCATGTGGAGAAGAATCTTTAGATGTGTTGAGAGTTTTTCAACATTCTTCTGCACATCCAAGTACTAACAAATGATATGAGTACAGAATGTGCTTTTGTTTTTATTCAAACTGATATCTGCATTTTAATTGGTCCTCCTCTTGATTGCTCTATGATAAGTGTGTGATGGCTATCTTGTGAGAAATATATATATGGCTCATCATTTCACATTAAAACTAAATTTGTGACTTCTAAATTCACACAGCAGTGAAAAAAGACTTAGTTGTGTATGTGTGTATGATTATACATATATATATATATATATATATATAGTGTGCTCTCCTCAATAATCCCCCAAAACTAATAATATCTGGAAATCAACTCCATTTAATCAACAATCTTTGACTTATAATAATTAACTGATTTTCACTGATTTTTATCAATCAAGAGAAGTGAAGTTTCATGAATGGCATATCACAAGAAACCAACCCTACAATAATAAACAACTATGTCATGAATCTCAAATTCTTTTCTTTAACATACTCTACTGTAAGCCATTTATTTAGTATCTTGTGGAGAGTATGAATTTTTGTAATATGAGGGATTTCAAAATATTGAATCACAAATGCAAAAGCAATCAAATGGGAGGATTATTTGGGAAAGAGGGTGAGCACATACTATGGATTGTAATGCACCAATAATGAGGTTTCAAACATGGCCTTTTTGGGTGATATTTAATCTATGATACAACCTTGAAGTATTCTATGATATTTTGAAATGTCTCTTGATACTTCACCAAATCATCTACCTTGCAAGGTAGGTGATTTTGAAATGATCATATCAAAAGAGAGGCAGGTCAAATATCAAAAACTGCTTCACTTGCCTCAAATCTCTCCTCTCTTTGACTCCATATGAAGGGAATAATAAAGTTTGAATCAGGGGGTAATATCAAGGGTTAATAAAGTTTGAATTGTGATATTTTGGATTTGATATTTCAAGTGATCCTAAAAATATCATGTGTTAAATTCCAATTATTTGGTTTTGCAAAAGTGCCATGTTTGAAACTCCCTATTCAAACAAAAGAGATGCTTAATGGCATATTTTGTGAATCCGCAAGAGGCACATTTAGTATAGATACATCTACCACCAATTTTTATGGTTTACAAAATGACAACAAACTACACTTGAAAAGATGTCAACTTGTGTACAACATTTACACTAGGTAGCACCATAATTCTTTTTGTGCTCTACTTGTTATTGAAGAAAATATAGTTGTACATTTATTTTTGAATAATGTATATGTATGTATGTATGTCTATATATATATATATATATATTCTTTGTTGTGGTGTACCATTATTCTTCCTCTTGTTTTGCTTATCCTAACAAGTATATAAATACAGGGATTTGACTTTAATATATGATTTAATATCTCAAACAACAAATAACACCAAATTTAACAGTTAGTAATAACTTTTTGATGTGCATTTTAAAAAAATGAAATATTTTGAATTTAGCAGAAATATTTTATTCCAAATTAGTAATAAAAGAAAAAAAAAATACATGTATGATTATAAAATCATCTTTAGTTCCTTTGGTTTTTATATATTTTTTGACTTATGATGTATAAGTGTAAACTACGACTATTCATTAATTAAAAATAAATTACTTCTACTGTTCAATCATCAGATTGTTATAATTCATTTGAATTTTATTATTTATTAATTATTATTTGAATATTTTTGAAGAAAGAACCACACCTTCAATTTTTTTTAGCGTTTTAGATAATCATTTTATAATCTGTTGAAAATGTAGCTTAGATCTTTATACTATTGGGATAGTAATTCAATTTTATAATTCATTCAATTAATGGCCGAATAAATTTGATTGTAATCTGATGTCGTCTTGTATTGTAACTTCAACAAAAATCTCTTTTTTAATGTATGCTTTGAAATAAATTGTTTTGAGGAGTTAGAAGCAAACATATCAAAATATAGTTGTAGTTGTTCAAATATGACAATTAATTTGGTTTTTGAGGATTCTTCTTCTTTAAGAGAAAGCAAATTTCATAACTAAAATTTTACTGATTCAAAGTCTTTTTTTGGAAAGCTCTTGTTTGGCATTACAATAATACAAAGAATATTTTGGAATGTGCATCTTCTAATGATGGATTTGAAATATGAGATTTAAAAAAATATTATCCAAAAAGTGTTAGAAAAAAAATCCAAAAAAGATGGGAAATATATAAGAAATATTTTTTTAAAATAAGATAACAGAAAGAAAGAAAGACAACTGTGCTTTGAACAAAACAAGCAGAGAGCCATCACACATGGGCTTAAAATAGACAATAGATGGGTCAGTTCAGCAAATTTGTAAAAAACTCATGTTCGTTCAAAGCCTCCACCGAATGAAAATTTGTGGTAATTTTACACCACACACACGAAGCTTAACGAAACCCACAAAGCCAGGCTTCACCGACATCGAAGAATCACGAGAGACAGCAGATGGGGGATCACCTAGATTCATCGCCGAAACAAAATTCCTCATTTCGAAAGGGCGATTCGAAGATCTCATAACACCAACCCGACCCACTGAAGCACAGAGCTGTCTTCATTCCCATCGATTGTTGGAACGTGGATTGCTATCAGAAAACGTCGAACTGAACGAGAGGTTTTCGTAGGGAGAAGCATTCGGCGAGAGCCCCGTTGCTGCGGTTTGCTCGGAAAGCATGTTTGTTCTTTTCCATGGAGAGTTGGTCTCTGACGAAGCTAGCGCGCACATTGTTGGTTGCTAACCTCTTCGTTGCAATCGATATTTGAGTTTCAGGACTGTGGTTGACGATAAAGAGCCTGTTGGTTTACAAAATTCTTAGGGTGAGGTCTGTTTGTTACTTGAACTTTGGAGGTCTTTGAGCATGTGGAGGAGGGAGAGGGGAAATGACTGGAATGCATCGGATGGGGTGCGACGGATGCCAGTCTTTGGTTACAAAACCGCATGAAGCGTTTCGAATTGAGGGCTGAAACAATTACAGACTCTGTGGATTCATCAGCTAAATTCGGCGGACCATGCAAAACTTGCTTTGCGCACTCTGATTGTGAGGGAGGTAGACTATCTAGAGAGATCAAGTGCCAGCCAACCAGTTCTTCCACAGTGACATCTAGGTTTCATGGAGTAAAAGCACTCGCAGCCGATGCGATTGTATCGGTTCATGCTTTCATAGGCCCAGTCGAACACGAATGCGTTGGCTGAAACTAGGGTGGGAACCCTTACACTAAATCAGGTCATTTTATTATAAACTCCGCCGACTCCAGACTCATACTTCAATGCACTTCAGACGAGGACAATCTAGTGAAAATTCTTAACAACAGCTCGCTGCGATTAGCCAATGCTTCAAGCACTCTTTACAGTGACAAGGACAAAAGATGCGGTAAGTATGAGGGCTTCGTGTAACCGCATTCATCGTAAACTTTCGAGGGGTGAAATTTATGGCTTCAGGCGTGCTTTACAACACAGGTATTGGAATTGCAATCAAGTGTGCATTTCCAAAGACTACCATCTATGGCTTCCTCCAGACAAACACCGCGCCGAGGAAGTCGCTTTTGAATTGAAGGTTGCATTGGTGTAATGTTAGGCCCCACCACTTGCCCAAATTGACAAGGATATGTGCACTGAAGTGGCTTTCGATATCACGCGAGTTCGATGGAGCCGATCCTCACGCGCATTGCATTCATGGCGTGTCTCACTTTAAAAGCCCTTGCTGTTCTTGATTGAAACTGTCCATTGACCGACAGCTCCCTCAGTACTGATGGCCGCTCAGTCAGCACCACTCCTCACCAGCAGTGCTTACTGCAGATATAATCCTGCAGAATTGCATTACTCAGCAGAGTCGGTATGAATACCAGGTCTATTCGTAGTTTGAATATCTAATGGATAGACGCATTGTGTATTTAGTCACTGTACTTAACTTCTGTCTAGTTTTGCAGGTTTGTGACATTGTTTCTCGAACACAATGGCTGCCCTTCGCGTTCGAGAAGTTGGTCTGATTTCACTCCTGGTAGTAGTCGCCGTATCGTTTGTACTTGCATCAGTTGCAGCTCAAGGTAGCGATGAAAAAGCCATTGCATTCACCGCTCTATCACGACAACCAGCCCAGGAAGGCAACGAGGCCGAGTGGAACTCCTATGTGGAGAGAGTTGTATCTCGAGACATAATAAAACGCAAGCAGATGCAGACCCAAGAATTGCTCGGTGCTATGGGAGTTGATGACACCATGGGCGTAGCAGCTGCGGTTCCTAAAGGCAGGACCATCATCGTGGACAAGCAAGGCAAAGGCCATTTCAGGAAGGTTCAGGACGCCATCGACTCAATCAAGGAGGGCAACAAGAAGCGAATCACTATTATCATCAGGGCCGGTACCTACGTTGAGAAATGTAGGATTCCGAAGACGAAGCCATTCATCACACTTCTCGGCTCAGGAACGAAGACCGTGTTGGTGTGGAGCGACACCGCCGGGAAGGCAGGAGGGACCGCGTTGAGTGCTTCATTTGCAGTGGAATCTGAGGGTTTCATCGCCAAAGACGTCACATTTGTGAACTAAGCCCCTGCTCCTCCCGGCGGCTCTGTGGGAAAGCAAGCAGTGGCCTTGCGAATCCAAGGAGACAAGGGTGCGTTTTACAGGTGCAGGTTTTTCGGAGCTCAAGACACTCTTTACGACAAGCAAGGGCGACACTACTTCCGGAACTGCTTCATACAGGGCTCCATCGACTGGATCTTCGGCAACGCCCAGTCGATGTACCACTGCTGCACAATTAAGTCCATCGCCAAGAGAAACAGCGGTTCCATCACCGCACAGAAGCGGTCCTCAAAGAACTCGCCCACTGGATTCTCCTTCGTGAGGTGTAAGATCTTTGGAACTGGGTCCATCTACTTAGGACGTGCTTGGGGCACTCACTCCCGCGTGGTGTTCATCAAATGTCACATGGCGAAGATGATTCTGCCCATCGGATGGCAAGACTGGAATGACCCTGCGAGGCAGAAGACGGTGTTCTACGCCGAGTACTCGTGCACGGGGCCTGGCGCTAATAGGGAGGGCCGTGTCAAGTGGTCTAAGCTTCTGTCTGCCAAACAAGCTGCGCCGTTCTACTCTTACCGCTTTATTGACGGGCACAAGTGGCTCAACAAGACCTGAGCCCAGAAGTCCATGACGAAGCTGCAGCGTGGATAGTTCCGCAGCAGTAGGCGTGATACTCAACCCAGCAGCATTATGATTCTTTTCTAGCCGCGCTAGACTATTCTTTTCAGTATTAGCACTGCCCACATTGGCGAGATAGATGAATACACCTTGGTTCATTTTCCTCGAAATGGATTTGAGTAGCGGTTTCGAGAACATGTGTTTATGCATGTCGTGGGTTAAGCCACGTTTCTCCCTGCCGATCAATTCAAGTGTTGTCCGTCTGCACAAGCTTCTTGATTGTAGTACAGAACTTTTCTTTTGGTGAAATATATTGTCCCGATACGCTCCTGGTTAGGCAATAAACTTCGGAATATGCAGCTGCCAGTGAGCATGTATATTATACACACATCTGCAGAACACATTTTTTATTTTTTTATTTTTTATAAACATCCTTTTCACTGCGTATATTTTTATCGAGTTCAACCTCATGTCTAGTTTTGCTTCATCATCTTATCGAAGGTAGGAAGAATGTGGCGTATCAACTTTCCTTGATAAAACTAGATAATGAGGAGATAAAGGACAACTCCTCACACCTGTAACCAAACAAAATAGACACTACTTTATCTAGTTGCCAGTCGCAGAAAATGGTGAGCGTATTCACATTTAAAAACTGGTCACAAAGACATAAAACTCCTACTCAAAATTTTTACATAACGAAATAGTGGTTCATCAAATACGCAGTAATAGCGCGCCGGAGCCTCTCTAACAAAATGTAGGCGTAAAATATGTGAGTATTAATAAGCTTGTAAGTATTATTATCTAAAGTTTCTTTTGAAAAGATTATTGCATGAAAGTTAGTACTGGTACAAGACATGAACTTTCAGAAATAAACTGTCCAAAAGTATATAGTTCAATTTATTCTTTTAAAGCCACTTCTCACTATCCTGGAGTGCACTTCCAGTTCATGCATTCTTGCTGGTTTTGCTTAGTTGCATTACTCATATTCATGACGAATGAGACAGAACTGATTTCAAATCACTACACATCAGCTGTGTTGGTGAGGTAACATTCACCAATAAATTCACCAACATGAAGGCACTCTCCCACTCAAGTTTTGAGGCACTTCATCTGTAGTACTACAACTGGGTTTGGCTTGAATACGTGCTATGCTAGTTGAGCTAAATTTTGTTGCCTTTCACGTGACCACACTCAATCAGATGAAAACACAGACAAATGAGCCAGAATTATCCATTCACTTCGACCTCATCGTACAGGGCAAAAATGTTAAAACCAAGAAAACACCACCACCACCTTGAGAACTTCCAGGGCTCTTTCAGTCTTTTCATGCCAAAATGTTTCAGACAGGACGAGAATACAATATGAATAATGCCTGTTTAACATTACAAGCAAGATTAGATAACTTCATGAGTCGTGGAGTACACGATGAGAGCTAGCCGACAGACCAAATTGCGTCTAGCTGTGCACGACACCCTCAGAAAATTGAAGGGCAAACTGCAAAAAGCTTTCCCGCGTTTAGAGTACATGATCTAAGGGCCCAACAACAAAACTGTCTTCTTATTCCCTTCTTGAGACTCATTTTGTCCACTCGAAGGCTCTACAGGAGAAGATTCTGCCAAAGCTCGCAAACCTGATGCAAATGTGCGACTTGCAACGTCTGGAGGTGGTGCATTGTCTTCGGGTGTAACTAGTAAACCCTCTTTCCTAAGCTCAGAGGGTTCTTTGTAAAGCAACTGCCAAAGTAAGTCAACCAATATTCGCTCTTCTTTCACAGCTGCAAGATCTTCCTTGTTCATTTTTTTGATGTCCTCTACCCGCTTACTAATGACGTCCTTCAGTTGGGTAGTGTCATCATATTTTCCTGAACTCTGATTATCCTGATTACGGATAATCTCTACTAAAGATTGGAGAGTAGCTTGCCGCAGGTCGTGATCTGGACTATTCACCAAGTTTGTCAATGATCTAACAAATCCCAGTTGAGTTGCTACATTATGGTCCTTTGGAGTCTCCTTCAGTAGATACTGCATCACCTGCAGAGCTTTCCTGAAATTCCATGGACAGAAATATTCCATGAGATTGACAGCAAGGAATTTCTACAATTGTCTGGTGAACACAGACAATTCCTAGAGTATGACCAAAGCAGCAAAGGTTGCATACATTCGTGCATACAAAGCCGTCAGAACTTTCTGCGCAATCACTGCCGATGCTAAATCGTTATCGTCTAACTATTACTATCTTCTGAAAAGAATCCTAAGTTTGTAATAAAGCAGACACTAGAGCCAAGTACCTCTGAAATCTGGTGTCCTCCGACGCAAGTGCCTCACGCAATCCCGCGTATCCATTAGAAAGCCTGAAGGCATCAGTCGCTACTTTATTATTTCTAATTAATGCTGTCAAACCACACAGAATAAACCAGGTGAGGATGTAATCCAAAAATATATCAAACTTAACATCTTCAGTACATCAGTCAGCATATGATTACGATGAGAAGAAGGCAGTAAGTAAAATAAAAACAAGAAAAAAAAAAAATAAATAAAGCAGATGAACTCAAAACACGTTAACGTACATGAAATGGCACCCAAAGCCTTCGTTCGCACTTTCATATTATCGTCTGAGTTGAAGTTTGCCAACAATTTTTCCAAGCCATTACATTCCATCACTTGCTGCTGGCTTTTCGGATTGTTCTGTACTATAGTGCTCACCACTTCTGCTGCCCGAGACCTAATCCCAGCATTGGGATTCTTCAAATAATTCAGTAAAGGCACCAAGCCACCAATTGCATGCAAGTCTGCCAAGAACAAAAAAAACCAAAGGTTATTAAGCAAGCTTTCAAAAGGGAGAAGAGTAATCGCCACATGTCGAATGCAACGTGATGGCATGACATCATTGTATTATACAAAATATCAAATCAAGAAAAGCTCAAAACACGAAATCTGAATTCACCCAGAGAATTTGCACACACAACGAACTTGTTGATAATTTGGGAAATATAGAACAGATTACTATACCAAGGAATAAAGCATCCTCCTATTCAGGTGAGCGGACCATACCGTTTGCCATGTCAATGGATTCCACATGTTCTTGAAGCTCCTCCAGCAATTCTATATTCCAGAGCAGAACAAACGTCCTCAAATATAAGAATCTAAAAAAAAACTTCTGGCTTAAGAATACAATTGCTAAATAGAGTTACAATCTGAGAAACTATCATGTCGTGACTCCCATGATCTAACACTGCAAAAATGCTCTTAGCCGGAGTTACTTGTAACGCAGACCGGAGACAACTGATTGATAAATACAAACTAAAAAACCTACATGAAGTTCACAGAGTTCCTTAACACGAAGTTTTCACGAGTCAGAGTCTGCAATGTCTTACATGCAAAATAATGCGTCTAACAAAACCCTAAACCTCAGAACAATTTGAAGCCCGATTCGTAGATAGTCTGCATGAGCAACTCATTTCGCCCTAGAAATTTTTCGTTATCGTGTTGGACAGTGTATCTCTTACCTTCAAGTTCTTCTACAGTAACACCCTGGGATTCAAGAACTTCACTGGGCATATTCATCACCATAGAAATCTCTTTCATTCGCTTAATGATATCCACAGTCTGTGATTCCATGGCTTCCGCGAAAAACCTCTTATCCTCTTCACTGTAACAAACAAGGAATCAACATATTGTTGAGGGCCTTACAACGCTCGCACGGGATAAACCCATAATCTTGACTCGAATGAATTGCTGCAAATTGTCAGACCTTCGTACTTGAAAACACTTCGAACTACCTTGGACCATTCAATCGCAAAGAAACAAGAACTCAGAGTAAGAGACCACCCTAAATCAAGCTTCAATTCCCAATACAGAAAGCATCAGCGCACCTGAGTTGACGAGGAGCCTGGGTACCGTCGCTGTGAGCAATACTCCATTTCAGCAAACCCTTCCAGTCCGGCCCACCTCCGTCCATGGCTCCACGGATCTGGACAACAACAGTCCTCGCAACTAGCCTCAACCGACACAGAATATACCTCTTTGAAATCGCTGAAACCCCCACAAGATTAACTACAGCTAGGCTCGAAATGAAGCTCGTTGCACACTCTACCAATGCAAGGTATCGACGTCAAATATATTCTCGTTCAACTCTACGAAATGGTGCGAGAAGGAGGTCATCAATGAATACTTGGAAATTTTGCCGTGACGGCAATGTGAAGGGCAACAACTGCAGGAAGGCACTGGAAGCGTCTCGAAGGTGGTGGTCGGCCCCCGACCGATGGACGGCATTGAGTGCGACGTGACCACACGACCGTTCTGATCAGAACATGCGCCGCGCCGTTGTCGGAATTAAGTGATAAACTCTGTCCAAGTGACGGAAACTCTTTTGTAGCTTCGAAGCGTTATGAGGACGTTTATCATCCAAACGACGAACGGCGTCAGCTGGCGAGTGATGGATCTATTGGAAGTATATGTTCTTGTGGCCCCTTTTCAATGATCAATACAATGACTTTTGATAAAATCGTAATCACTTTTTTACTCACAATTTCTTTACAATTTCTTCATGTGAGCATAATTAAAAGCTCCAATGATTAGTTATAATTCTTTTGTAATTTTTAACATATTTTTACTAATTTTAATGCTAATATAACTAATTAATGGATCCAAATTAGTTTTTTAGTTAATTATGATTTTTATTATATCTTTAGGTTGTTAATTAGATGGATAATTCTAATTAGTAGATTGATTGGCTATTTTAAAACTCAAAAGAAAAAAAATAGTAAATTTAGAAGGTCTATGATTTTTTTTTCTTGAATTACTTTAAATCTTTTTCTTAGTAATAAAACTATAATTTTAGTAGAAAATCTCTTTTTATTCTTAGGAATTATATCTTAAATTAATCCACAATCTTAATTTTCAATCCAAAAGCTAATTTCAAATTTGACTATGGTTAGAAAGTCCCTTAAATCTAATTGTTCTATTTTCTTAATTAATTTTGAGATTTTTAAGCTTAAATTTTATTTTTTAATTTAATTGGATTAAAAATGTAAAGTCTAATTGTTAAATTAATGGTGATCTTAAAAAGATGGAAACAAGTTAGATTTTTGGTGGAGTTTCCTCTCATAGTGATTTTAATCACTATTTGAAGTTGAAAAAAACAAAAAAATTGGAAAAAATCACAAATTCAAGGCCAATTAACAATTAGGTTTTGGATTTGCCAAGAGTTCATGCTTAAGGGAGTTTAAATTGAAGAATGGTGATTATGAAGGCTTTGATGGCAAGAACCCTTGCTGATTTCCAAGTAGGCTAATTAGAATTAGAATTATAGTTAAAATTTATACTAAATTAGCAAATTAATTGATTCTTATGATTTAGAACTCAGGTTTGGGCTTGTGAATAGTTGATCCTAGAGTAAAAATATGTTTTAGAGACATTGGTGGTGTTAGTTCACCAAAAAGGTGTTAGTTTTTGAATTCTAGGCATTTCTAGCCTTGAGATTGGGGTTGGGCTGAGAGTTATTGAAGATCCTAGATCTTGGTTAGGAATTTTCCGATTTTGATGGTGGAGATGTGTTCGCCACTTTTGGGCCTCCTTCCACCAGGTTAAGAAGGCTTGGGTGACCAAGCTCCCTCTCTCTCTCCATCTTCTTGTGGCGAAGCCATGGCAAAATGTTCCTCCATCTTATGAATGGAAATCTTCTTCTTGAAACTTGTATGGCCTTGGTCTATTTCTTTTTATTTTATTTTTGTGAAACTTTGTAAGAAAATTCTACTCACCCTTAGTTTTGTATCGTCGTAAGGCACACCTGATTTGAAATTGTGACAAATTTTTAGTAAGTTTTTAAGATGGCGGGGGACTACTACCTTGGCAATGTAGGAGCGTTGATTTAAAAAATCTATAACTCGGTGACCTCTAACTCAACTTTGATGTGGATTATTGAACTAAACATAATCTAAAGCTTAATTTACTACAAAATTTAAATCAACAATTTTCGATCTATATCAAATTTTTAATGAATTTTTAAATGCGAAGGGATCTAGTACCTCGGTAGCGTTGAACAATCAGCTTTGAAATTTTTTATCTTAGTACTTACTTACATTTTTTTGCTGAAATTTCTTTGAAAAGGAACTCTACTAAGTTTAATTTTAGGAAAAATTATACTTGTTAATTTTAAACTATTAACTGATTTTTAGTGAATTTTTAAGTAGAAAGGGTCTGCTACCTAGGCAGCTCAGGTTGTCTTGCTTTGAAAACACACACCTCAGATGTCAAACCTCGGATCACCATGAAATTAGGTAGATAGGAGCAACTCTAAGTCAACCTCAATCACAAAAAAATTTCAAGTACATAGGAGTTAAGTGGAAATGTTAGCAAATTTTTGAATGACAAGGGATCTGCTGCTTTCAACTTGACATACTCTAAGTAAGTTTTCCTTTCCTAATCATCCTCTAATCACATCCCTTAGCGCCTAAATTGCTATATTATCACTCATTCGTCTTATTATCATTAATTAATGTTATTTAATAATTTCAAAAAACTTTTATCTCACTTTGGAAATTAATCTTAAATTCTTATCTTTCCATCCATTTTTACCCTTTAAGAAAAAAATAAAAAATAAAAAAATAAAAATTAATATGACCTTTTAATTTTTTCTTATTTCTTTTAATCTTAACCTTTTAACTTTTAATTTTAATCTTCAACTTTAAACTTTTACTTTTAACCTTTATCTTTTACTTTTGTTACTTTTTAACTTTTATTTAAATTATAATTATTAATTCTAACTTTAATTTTAATTTATTTTTTTTAATTTTAATTTTTAATTTTGTAATCTTCCAACTTCCATCTTTTATCTTAAAAAAATCTTAACATCATGTTAGTGCTGAACTTAAATATTTAAGGCTGTTTATTAGTGAATTTCTAATTCTAGATGAAGTTTTGTCATAAAAAACTTCATGCGTGGATAACTTCCTATATAGAATTCCGATTTACATGGTTAATGCCACCTTAGAAAGTCCTAAGCTCGCACTCTAGCATGGTATTCATTGTTTTTATTTTATTTTATTCTAACTCATAATTTTCAGAGTTTAAGTTTGATGGAATAAGTCGTAGAAGGCACTTAACTAAATGAACTACAAATGCTAAAAATTAAATCATAAAAAGGTGTAACTAACTTGTTGTGTTGTTGGATTAATCTTGATTATTACATCATTTTAGTTTTCCTATCTTATAGATGATTTGCATCTCCACATTAATTAATATTGGACTCTAATGTAAGTTATAATCTAATTAAATCAAATTTAAGTGAGGGGAGAAAAATCCACTCACACTTTACTAGTCTTATCTTCATACAACTCAAGTATACTAAAAGCATGAATGTAATAATATAATATTGATAAAAGTCTAATGTCCAAACTACATGTTTGAAATACTTTTAAAAAAATAAAAATAAAATAACATAATTCATGTAATCTATGTGTGGTTGTATATATTATTCAATTTCTCAAAAAAAATTAAATATATATATATATATATATATATATATATATATATATCAAAAAAATTGATACATAAGATTTTTTAAATTGTTAACACACTTTTTATAGACTCCAATAGATTTTCTTTGCTAAATCCAATACTTTTATAACAATAAAAATATAGAGGATTAAATCCTTGTGAATATTGTGCATAATTTTTTTTTATATAATATTGATAATATGTATGATTTTATAAAAAAATCTTAAACTAAGAAAATTAAAAATTAAAACTTTTATAATTACAAATTCTTCATAATATATTGATTTTGTATATTAGAATTCATAAATATAAAAGTAATTTGGATATTCTATTTTTATCAATATTATATTATTATATTTATACTTTTAGTATTCTTGAACTGCATGAAAATAAGATTAATTAAAGTATAATGAATGCTATAAAAATTAAAATCATATTAGATTATATATATATATATATATATATATATATATATATATATATATATAGAATACAAGAAATAGATAAATACACAAGCTTATGTTAATAACTTATAATTTATATTAGTATTTTACATTAACTTTCAAATTAGCTTATATTGAAAGCATACTTCCAAATTCATTGATTGTTTTATAATTGCTTAGTGAAATAATACTAAATTACCAATTATGGATCTTATTATCTAGTAAAGAAGGATTACTCAATTTTCATATTAGTGGATAGTCTATGATATGTCATTCTATTTTTTCATAAAAAATATATATATATATATATATATATATATATATATATATATAGACATACACAAATACAGTGACAAATTCAACATGTTGATGATTACATGCTATATTTCATGCAAATAGTAACTAATCAAAGTCCACTAATCAAATTAAAGTAACTAATCAAAGTAACTAATCAAATCCACTGAAAATGTTTCATTATTTCAAAAAGAATACATCAAAATAGTAAATTAAATGAAGAAGAAGAAAAAAGACTAGAAATAAGTCACAAAAGATAGATCCTAGTATGTAAACAAAAAAATATTGATAGAAAAAATCAATAAAAAATTATATGTTGAAAAAAATTACAGATAATAATCGAATATAATAAACAAAATATAAGTGAAATATTGCATCTTGTCAAGGAGGTGCAACCTAATTAATTATTCTTTTCTTGATAAGATAAAATCATATACATCCATTTTAAAATTAAGATTTATATTTTCCATCAAAAACTCTTATATCACTTACTTCTAATATGATATTAGAACAAAGCTTTGAAAAAGTTTTATGATAAAAACTTAAGAAAATACTAAAAACAAAGACAAAAAAATGAAGCTTTGTAGAAGACATTCTACATAGAAAATTAGAACACCAAAAAATCCTCATTTTGTCTTTAAAGAAAAATGACTTTAAGTAGCCTTGCTATAAAAAAAATGGCCTAAGTTTGATGGCTTGTAGTACTCCATCTCAAAGAAAAAGATTCAGATGAAGTTTGAAATGGAAAACTTTTAGGTTGTAGTTTCAAAAAAAAAAAACATAACCAATAATAATTCAAGAAAAAAATGCAACATCAACTTCATAACCAATCAAACTAAAATCCTTAACTACAAAAGAAAGGATCAGGTTGCTTTAGTACCAATTTAGAATTGTATAGAAAATCTAATTTTTTCTCATGTCATAGCATTCAAGACAGCCAATGAAGCATAATTGGCCCTTAAAAATACATACTCTTTCAATG